AGGCTTGGTGAGCAGAAGAGACTTCTTTAAAAACAATAAAAATCTTACTGTTCAAAAACTTTTGACTGGTAGTGTATGTTAGCCTATAGTTTGAAGTTAAAGATATTAATATTAATTAGGTGAGTCTGAGACGATTATATGACAGTGATTTCACATTTCTTGTTTGTATGAAGGCTAAATACAAATAAAAGGTGAACATGAATTTATTTGTGCTGTTTTTTTTCTCTAAAATATTATATTGTTTTATATGAGGTGTCATAGACTTGGCAAATTAATTTTTCATAAGTTTGTATGCACAGACATCTGTTATGAGTGTTTTTGGCAGTTTTTACGAGGCTTTTTTTAATAGTGTTCATATCGATATCGGAATTATATCGTATCGACCGAAATTAAGAAATATATCGTGATATACATTTTGGCCATATCGTCCAGCCCTACATTGAAGTACTAAAATTACTAAAACTAAAATAGAAATAAAAAATATATTAAAGCAAAATAGAAATATAAAAAACTAATAACAATGACAAAAGCACATAAATTTACAAAAAAAAATTAAGAGTGAAAATAACTCAAAATATAAATAAATACTATAATAGTGTATAAATGGGCTGTTTTTTTGCTACTGTACCTGTACTGAAAGATGTCTGTGTAAAAGCCTCTTCGCATTGCATTACAGCACTTTTCTGTGAGTTTTCTGTCAGTTCAGTCTTGTTTTTAACCGCTCATCCTTCAATAACAGCCTATCGTGACAGATTCATAAAACAAGCAGAGCTGAAATGTGCCACTCAAATGTTGTAGCATCCTGTGAACTCGTAAACACAATTTTATCTCCGGGTAGACAGACTTTTGCCAATTTGATATGCAACAGTCAGTTTCCACCAGCTGTTTCGTGTGCAATATGCATTAAACAGTCCGTAGGCGTGTCCTTTATGCTGAGTCTAGATTTTGATTGGTTATTGATTCCTGCCGCGCTCTGATTGGCTTTTGCCTCTTTTTCAGGGTTCCTCATTGATCCATCAGAAGGTGGCTCCGCCCAGCGAGGGCGTCGGCTCTCCCATTCTCTCATTCGTCCAGCTGGAGCAGTTTAATGCGGTGCGATTGGTCCACAGCATTCACCAATCGCTGGCCTCGCTCAGTAAGGCCATCAGAGGCACGTCCCTCCTGACCGCTGACGTACACAAACTGGCCACTGCACTCCTGAACCAAGAGGTGAGAGTGAACGCCGGCACCTGCTTGATTAATGAAGCAATACAGTATGATATGCTGGGCTAAATTACACCATATATTTGCTGAATGAAATCCTTGTGTTTTACTAATTTTGTGATGCTGAAGTTTGTCCAATTCTCAGACCATGTTCACATGCATGACATTATTTTATGCATAATTCTGATTTTAAGGTTAGAATTATGACCAGTGACAGAAGAAAATGCAAACATGAGCCAGATAAAAAAAAGATGGCTCAATATTCTACTGATTAGTGAAATATACATATATATATATATATATGTTAGTAATTTTGTTGTTTGTTCTTGTCTTTTTTTGTTTATTTGTTTTTTATTAATTTTATTTCAGTTTCAGACTATTTTTATTTTAGTCAATTTTTATGCTTTATTTTATTTTAATTAACGCAGATGTTATTTTTATATTTTTGGTTTTCATTTTAGTTAACGATAACAATGCTGGATCATCTTGTGGGAAAATACACACGTATGAAACAGCATTTTATTGTATTAAAGGGAAAAAAAAGATGTTGCAAAATCGTACTGATTAGTGAGAAAAAAAATTGAAATTAAAATGAAATATAAAGTATAAAAATGTTTTAAGTAATTATGTTGTGTTTGTATTATTTTGTATTACTTTTTTCCCCTTGTTTCTTTTTACTTTCTATTAATTTTATTTCATTTTTAGTAATTTTGAGTAAATAAAAATATGTGCACTGCTTATTGATAAGTGCATTAAAGCTGATACATATATATTTTCCCACTTATTTTGTGGGAAAAAAAACTCTGATGGAAAGTTTTATTGACATTTTTAGCTCCGCATCATAAAATTATGCAATATTAGGCCTTTTTTGCAAATCAGCAGATAATTGTTTTCAGGATGCAGGCGATGTAATCAGAGCTGACTTTCTCTCTCTCTCTCTCAGTGTCCGTTGAGTTGGCAGAATAAATGGGAAGGCCCTGAAGACCCGATGCAGTATTTGCGAGCCGTCGTGTCCCGAGCGCTTGCGATTCAGGTAAACAAACTCCTGCTGTTGATCCAGAGGTCGTGGAATGTGTTTGACCTCCTCCAGGTGTTCTCCAGTTTGTTTAGCCGTGTCTGTGGGAGCGTTATGATCCTAGAATGCAGGAATGCCACGAAGGAGCCGTGTTTGTTCAGGATGCACCTGGCTTTATAAATCGCTCGCATGTTTTCCTGCTGTAATAGGGCCACGCAGAGCGATCATCTGACCTAATGAGTCTCTGGAGACGTTTACCCGCACCGCCACAGGTCTCCCGTCAGGCTCAACAGCTGCCAGCAGACGCCGCTGCGTGTGTCGAGGCATCTCTCGTTGTTTTCCGAGCGTAAAGCCATCGGAATGTAGGCCGCAGTGACTCATCTGATCATATGAGGGTTCTTCTGTGCTTTTATGCGCTTTACTCTCTTTTGTGCTTTGGCTTCGGATAAAAGCGCTTTCTGAATAGCAGCCCTGCCATAAATTCCAGCTCTGCGAAGCTCGTGACGTACCGTTTCTGATAACATGGGGTCTCAGCGCTCCAATGCCCATATTCCACAATGCAGTTTGGTGATTGAACAACTTTTCTGTGAAGCATTCATGTAGCCATACAAAAATTGACAATGGTAGGTTATTGACTTTATTGTATTGTTACTGCAATAAAGCCACATTAACTGGGTGTTACTGTTGTCAAATAAATAAATATATGTCATATGTATATAATATATATATCATTGTATATGATATATATCATTATATATTACGTATTATATATCATATTATAGACTATCATTCTCTTGAAGATGAAACAGTAAAATAGATATAAATAAATAAATGTAGTGTTTTTGGGCATGACAAATTATATAAACATTAAATATATATTTATTGTGATTTTATATTTAGTGTACATATAATTTGTCATGCCAAAACCCACCTACCAACTTTTTTTTATATTTAATTATATATATATATATATATATATATATATATATTCATTCAACATTTTATGTTTTTTCATATTTATTTTTAATATATTTATTCACTAGGAAAATTACTTAAAATCAACATAAATAAAGTTAGTGCTTTAGATAGAAAGATAGACACACACACAGATAGATAGATAGATAGACCTTGAGTGCAGGAAGGAGGAGGAGCTACGTTGCGTGAATATTAAAGTCGTCAGACAGGGACTCATGAATAATACATGAGCGCACCAGCATCACCTGAGGGAGAGTTCATTACAGCTGAACACACACAAACAGCAGCGTGTGTATTATCATGTACATTAATTACATGACTGACATCATGTAATATTGTGATGGTGTGTGTATGTGTGATTATGAGAATCTGTTTGTTTAGACATTAGTGCTCCTGAAACCCCAGCCTACTGTAAACACTAAAGCAGTAAATGTTAGCAGGTGTGTTTTGTGTTTGTCATCTGCTGACGTGTGTATAGAGAACTGTGGGAGCGTGACTTTCAGAGAGACAATCTTTCTATGCACATGAGAGTCTCAAAAACATGTCTGGGTAACATTTATTGCGTTCTGATGTGGGGCTGAAAAAATAAAATATATTTCGCACCAAAAATTAAAGCCTGCAGCAGAACGGTTAAGATTTGTGTTTGTTGCATTTTGACAATATTTTCATTTCACATTTTCACCTCAGAATTCTCATTAATATTTTTTTATTGCTGAAATATTATTATTATTGTTGTTGTTGTTTTTATTATTATTATTATTATTATTACTGCTACTACATAGCAGCAGTAATATTAAAATATGATTCTGTATTTTTATAAATTTAAAACAATAACAATAATGTGTTTTTATTACAATTATTATTATTATTATTAGAGGTCGACTGATAGTGGACTTTACCGATACCGATGGCTAGGTTAAACCGCACTGGCCGATAACTTATTAATCAACCGATAGTTTTTAAAATGAATACTGTATGGAAACTAAAATAGTGCTGAACTTTATTACACACACACACACACACACACACACACACTCACCAAAGTACAGAAGCATACTTTTCATATGGAATAAAAATATTCATATTAAATATTAATTATACATTGATCATTAATGTTAGTTCATAGTTCATCAACTAATGTTAACAGATGCAACTTTAAAATTTAAAAATGTATTTTTTTTATTATCACTTCAAATACATCTTCATTAACCTCAGTTAATGTTACAAATGGAATCATACAGTATTGTGAAGTGAAAGCATTTCATATAAACCCAAACGCGATCTATATTATAGCTCTCCATATGAAGCATACAGACTTTATTAGAGCCACAGAAAGACAAACGTTTTGCTGAAAAATGCACAATACACAATTTTACAGCCTAGGATGAAGTCGTTATGCACATTAACAACGATTTGGGACAAATATAATGTAATGAGTGGCGCTCTGCAGCGCGGCAGGATTTCTGTCACTGAATGAACACATTTTTCTCACATCACAGCTTTAAATCTGCATCTTCGCTGGCTTACAAATGCATTAACGTGACCAGCTGGATATAAACTGACACTAATAGATGGTAACAGTCGTGACATTAAACATTTGGGTCGGACTTGGGTGTGTTTTGGTCACACTGTTAACCGCTTGAGGTTTGCGTCCTCTCAGCCTTCATGGCAAACATACTATTTCACTTTCTCCACTAATGCAGCATCTAGTCAACAAATTAATTACTTTATAATGATATGAAAACATGCACTATAGTAGCCTATTCTGTATACGCTCCATTTCATTGTCGATGTTTTAAATCCGCATCTGAAGTGTCCTGCTCTGTGCAGTGCTCAGTGTCACGTGTCAAAACAAACAAAAACTACTCAGCCGCTCCAGCAACGGATGGGAAAACTATCGGCATGGGGTTTTGCCGATAACCGATAGTTACAGCAATCAACTCTTGGTGTCGATTAATCGGCAAAACCGATAAATCGGTTGACCTCTAATTATTATTATAATTATTATTATTATTATATTTATTATTAAGAATAATTATAAAATATATTTTTTATACAATTACAACAACATAATAATAATAATAATTATTATTATTATTATTATTGCATTACAGCAGTAATATTAAAATATAATATTGTAATTTTATACATTTAAAACAATAACAGTCTGATCTTATTGTTGTTTTTATACCATAACAGCAATAATTAAATTTTTAAATCATTTAAAATGATAATAATTATAATTATTAGTGTTATATATTATTAATAATAGAAGTAGTATTTAAATAAAAATATATACATCATGATTGTATTTGTAGTTATTTCTTTCAATTTTTTTTATTGTTTTACTATAATATAGTAGAAAGTTAACTTTATTACATCAATTATGAATATGTGAATGAGAATTATTATTAAAAAAAACGACTGAAACTCTTGGTAAAAAAAAATAGGCTGCATATTCTTTATGCAGAATATATATCTAGTTTCTTTAGATTGTGTGGTGAAATGTGAGCTGGACATGTTTTCATGAGGTTCACTCGCAGGCCGAGTCTGAGACGAGAGCCACAGTGTGTGTGTGAGCTGGAAATGAGCCACAGTGTCCACAAAACACCTGTCACTCGTGTCCGATCCGTCCACCGCTGCTGATGTGAGTCAGTTTGACTGTAAGCAGTCCTGCGGAGCGATCCCACAGAAACACTCCTCATGATGAATGTGTTTCTTCAGCTGGGATGATGATGGTGATGGTGATTTGAGCTGCTCCCTCAGGCACTGAACTGAACCAAACAGCCTTGTAAACTAATGAAGGATGAAGGTTGAGTGTTCTCGAGCGGGAGAATTTAGGTGAAAGAGTGTCAGAGCTTTACACTATTATAGCAATTCTGAGTTCAGACTTCCTCCACAGTCCATCCAGAACAAGTCTGAAAGTCTTGCAGTAGCAAAAACAGCATTTTAAGGGTCCGAAATGATCCTGAAAACTAAATTATGATTGTTTTTTGTTCCAAGAAACTGACTGCTGTGGGCCTTAAGGGTCAAATTTGGCCCCTAAAATGCTTATGAAACAGGTTTGCGAACGTACAGACTGACCAAAATGAAGGTCATCGAGGTCCGCGTGCCGAAACTCACCCCGAGATGGACTGTAATCGACCTCAGGACGGCTCCTCTAACAGATAATTGTATCTTATCCGTCAGCGCTGTTATGACGCACACCTGCTCCAGTGAGTCGAATTTCCACAGCAGCAGCTGTTTACAGAGATCTGTGAAATCTGTAAATGTGAGCCGACGAACAGATCTGAGCACAACACACACCTGCAGAAACGCACCGACTCCAATAAACAGGAAATCGAGCGTGTTTGTGTGGGAAAGTGTTCTGCTAGTTCCTGAACACAGATCTTGCTGAAGTGACCTTGAATGAATGAATGAATGAATGATGCATTTATATAGCGCTTTATTGTGTATTGCTGTACACCCAAAGCGCTTTACAATCATGTGGGGGGGTCTCTCCTCAACCACCACCAGTGTGCAGCATCCACTTGGATGAAATATAATAGAATCTGTTATGTGTTTCTGAGTTAATTCGGCTGGAAGTAACAGAAATTAATTGTAATTTTAGATGCAGATTGTTCGCTATTAGTATTATTAAATTAATAAATGTAAACTGTTTGTTTATTTAATAATTATTTTTAATTAATTATTTATTTTATTTTATTTATAATATTACAGCTTAATAATATGTTATATAAAGGCCAATTCATACACTACACTACTGTTTTTAAAAGTTTTTTTTTTAAACAAAAATGAATGTTTTTCATCAAAGATGCATTAAATTGATCAAAGGTGTCAGTAAAGATATTTATAATGTTACAGAAGATTTCTATTTCAAATAAACTAAGTTCTTTTGAACTTTCTATTCATCAAAGAATCCTGAAAAATAAAATGTATCACAGTTTCCACAAAAATATTGGGCAGCACAACTGTTTTCAACATTGATAATAATCAGAAATGTTTCTCGAGCAGCAAATCAGCATATTAGAATGATTTCTGAAGATCATGTGACTGAAGACTGGAGTAATGATGCTGAAAATACAGCTGCGCATCACAGAAATAAATTACACTTTACAATATATTCACATAAAAAACAGCTATTTGAAATTGTAATAATATTTCACAAAATTACTGTTTTTACTATATTTTTGCTAAAATAAATGCAGCCTTGGTAAACAGAAGAGACTTCAAAAAACTGAAATGTTTAAAAAACATTAAAATATCTCAGCGACCCCAAACTTACAGAAGTATATATTAATTTTCACACAAACAGATGATAATGTTCTGTTCATTCTAAGCACAAAATTAGTTTTTATTGTTCATCAATACTGAGTTTTATTACTGCAACAGTTGCACAAAAACACGCAGAGCGTATGTTGATGTCTTAAATGTGCTACTGCTAAACATATAAAGACGGACGCATACAGAAACTGTCTGCTGACGTTCTTAGAAAGACGCAGCATGTGAATCTCTGCCGTTCTGAAGCGTGAAGTCCTGTGAGGAGAAGCAGCAGGTGCAGGGAGAGATTTGAGAAGGAAACGGCGATTGTTACTGTACAACAGACACCAGCAGCACTCCAATCACTTCAGTCATCACACACACTGATCTCCACGACCAATCACTGCTCTGTGTGTGTGTGTGTGTGTGTGTGTGCGCAGGGATGGGTGGAGAGGGCAGAGAGGGGTGGACTGCTGTCGGAGATGCTGGATCTGTCGGAGCTCTTCCACCCGGACACTTTCCTGAACGCACTGAGACAGGAGACCGCCAGGTGATGAACTGAACACACACCTGAGAAACACACGTTTCTGAAGTGAACTGAGGAGACTTATGCCCGGGTTATTATACTTAACTAAAACTATAAAAAAAAAAAATGAAATTAAGTTTAACTGAAATATTTTTTTCTCATTTTCATTTAGTTTAACTTCATGTACTAAAATAACTAAAGCTGAAACAGAAATAAAAATTAACTATGTAGACATTAAAAAAAAACTAATAAAAATGACAAAACTACAACAACAGAACTGCAAAAACCTTAAAATTAAAATGAAAACAAAAAATATTACAATTCAAAATATTAATGAAATAATACTATCTTGATACTAAAATAACACTGCCTACTAAACTAAATTTAAAGAAATAGTTCACCCAGAATGAAAATATGCTGAAATGTACTCTTGAGTTTGTTTCTTCACCAGATTTGGAGAAGACAAAAGCTGAAACTAATCCAGCATTAAGATGTTTTTAACTATAATTTACGAGTCCATAATAACACTTCCTCCAGTGTAAAAGTGGTCTTGTCTGAATCAGGAGAGAAATCTGCACAGATCAAGCACCGTTTACAAGCCAAAACAGCTCTAAACAAATATGGGGTGAATTTTGATGTGAGAGACAACAGGAGATGGACTTTTTTACTGGAGGAAGTGTTATTATGGATTATGGACTCATATTTTAGCCAGAAACAATGGTTTAAAGTTAAGTTAAATAATGAATTGATGGACTGGAGTCGTCACCTACACATACTAAAATAAACGTGATAAAAGGTCATTTACAGAATAAACACCTGCTAAACCAAACTTGGGGTCACACAAGTTTCCTCAGGTCACATACAGTACAGCTGATAAACTCGAGTTGATTTATTTCTCATACACCTACTAAACTGAACTTATAGTTTCTTATGTAACAAACACCTGCTAAACTGAAACCTTGAGGTAACTTACATCACCTGCACACCTGTTAAACTAAACTCACAACTACTAAACTAAATCACATACTCCTGCTGCACTAAAATGAGCTCATTTACATAAAGAAGTCTTTACAAAAAGAGCCTAAATTCCCACACATTTCAATGTTTGAAGGGGAATTTGGGGGAAAAATATTTTTTTTCCTAAATTCTGTGTTTTTCGTTTTCATTTTTCTGGATTCTATTTTAATGGTTTGATTACATTTTGGTCAGTAAACAGAGACGGTCTGATCTCATGAATTTATAAAACATAACTACTGAATAATTAAAAAAAAAAGTTTCAAATGAAAACATTTCAAATGAATTAAATGAAAATAAAACTTAATTGTATATATTAAAACTTGGATGTAAAAAATTTATTGATTTAATAGTAATAATAATATAATAATATTAAATATTAATCTATATTGTTATTATTACTACTTAGAGAATTTCATTTTACTACACAATACTAATATATTTCATGTCATATCATTTCCATAAAATCAATGTTGTTGTTGTTATTTCAATTATTACTTTGAGAAGTACATTTTATTATACAATAGTAATATATTTCAATTATTTTTCATAAAATCAGTTGTTATTATTAGTAGTAGCAGCATTAATAATATTACTATTATTATTACTTTGAGAAGTACATTTATGTGGTTTAATAATGACTGATGCTAGTCCACATCGCTGTTTGAACTGAATTAATTTTACAGCCCTAATTTTGATTAATTCATCGAAAATTTGTTAAATGCTATACGGTAAATTCCATTTTTAGATCCCGATTCTGCGATTCCACCAGTGTTTTGTGCATTGCAGAAATCATATCGTGAAAATGATTATTAAAAAATAAAATTACAGCTATCATAAGTGAACTTCGGGGGGGGGGATGAAATGCTTTGTTTTGATGTGGTCTTTATGTCTTTCTGTTAGGTTGATGAGCTGCTCTATGGACAGTCTGAAGTTTGTCACGTCCTGGAGGGGTCAGATTACTGAAGCTAAACTACAAGTGAAGGTACAGAAGCTCATGTTTAACAGGATTGAACTGAACTCTGCCGGTCCGTGTTAACTGAACTCTCTCTGTCTGTAGGTTGGCGGCTTGCAGTTGGAAGGTTGTGCTTTTGATGGAAAGCGTCTGGCTGAGAGCCATCATGACTCTCCCAGTGTGTCTGCTGTCCCTGCATGTTACATGGCCTGGATCCCGCAGGTAACACACACACACACACACACTTTCTCCTCTGATGTTTCTAGTGAAGGCTGTGCGTTATAGAGTGTGTGTGTGTGTGTTTCAGAGCGCCGTGGGAAGTTATTCTCTGGACGAGTGCATCTCTCTGCCTGTGTACAGCAGCGCCGAGCGTCAGCGTGTGGTGACAAGCGTGCAGCTGCCGTGTGCTGGAGATCATGACACATGGATCCAGAGCGGAGCGGCGCTCTTCCTCAAACAGCAGTAACACACACACACACACACTGTGGCATTTACACAATCCATTTATAATGTGAGCGCTTTATATGCTCGCCCTGCTTGTCTTTGGCTGCATATCGTGGTGTTTTTGTCATGATCACTGCACTAAAGCTGCTGTGAGACGATAGTTTTAATCAGTCTTGTTGCAGGTATTTATATTATTAAATAAAAGAGTTTTTCATCAAGATCCATCCCTCTCTCTCCATTTAATTTCAGTGCAATTTTAGTACTTGACATTGCAGCAAAAACTGTACGTGCATATATCGATGCAACTGCAACTCGGCTGTGTACAGTGAGAAATCCATGCAAAATTGAACAAATTAAACAAATAATTAAAAACCAAATAAAATCAGTAATGAAAGAGACAGAAAAAAAATAGTAGAAAATACACATATTTAATACGAATACAAATAAAAAGGGAAAAATAAAATAAATTCATGAATTTAACAAACAGGAAATAATTTCAAAGATGATGTGTGTTTCTTATTTAATATTCTTTATCTTATTAGTGTTATATTAACTAAAATTAAAACCATAAAATTTTCATAAATATGAACTAAAATAAAAAAAATTAAAAAAAATTTCATGTAGTTGCGAAGGCAACTTTTCACATTTTCATTTAATTTAATTTGATGCACTAAAATAACTAAAACTGAAATGAAAATGAATAAAAACTATAGACATATTAAAAATTAAATAAAAATGGCAAAAACAACAAAATTGCTAAAACTTTAACTAAAATGAAAATGAAAACGGGAAAAAATACAAATTCAAAATATGAATGAAAACTGAAAAATATCTCAGTGATGTTAAAATAACACTGTCTCTTATTCAAACATTGTTAAGACACTTAGGTTGTTGGGCTGTTTGACATGAGACAGTTAGAAACCACATAGCAACAACTCAGAACACTTTGGCAGCCAAACCTAAGTGTCTTTCCTTATGGTTTTGCTCATTTTGTGAATGAGTCAAAAAGAAGATTGTGGATTTTTGTCACACTGGAAATGAAAGCTGAAGTCGAGCACATTGCATTGTGGGATACGGTATGTCACGCTGGCTGTTTGCTGCACATTTTGACAAATGTAGTTAATCATCTGGGTTTTGTACTGTGCTCAGTATCCATACTACAGTAACAGAGAGAGAAGTACAGTACGCCTGTATGCTGATCTGAACAGACTGTCTCTGCTGAGACTGAAGGGGTTTGTTTGTCTGAATTATTTACATTAGTGATGAATATTTTGTTAAGTTTCATTCTGCCAGCCGCGTCCTGTTTAAGAATCTCACTGCTGTCTCACCTTCAGCACAAACACAGCGTTAGGATGGAGAAGTGTGTGTGTGTGTGTGTGTGGTCATCACCAAACATTCTGTCCTCATTGGCTGCATCAGACTCTCACTGTTACCATGGAAACCATTTAGCGATACAAGAAAAATGGCTGAAACCATAAAAAAACTTTATTTCTATATTAGTTCTGTTTTATATAGAATTTATATTTTAATATTTTATGTATGATTTTTTTTTATTTTGTTATTTATATTTGTAATATTTTTTGTTGTAATACATTTTTATTTTTTCTTGTATAAAATAGTCTTTAAAATATATTCATATTTTATTTATAATTTTAATATTTGATATATTGTTTATATTTTTTATGTTTATACATTAGTTAAAATTTTTATGTAGAATTTATATTTTATCATTTATATAATAATTTATATAATTTTATATATTGTTTATATTTTAATATTTTATACATTATTTTTATATGGAATTTATGTTTGAATATGTTTTTATATTTTTTATTATTATTTATATTTGTAATTTTTAATCGTAATACCATCTACATCATCTTTAATCTTGTACTCTTAACAAGCAGTACTGTGGTATTACTATAGTATAGTGATGGTAATTTTATGGTACACATGGTAAACATATTTCTATATCTATATTTATATTAGTGTCCATTTGCTCCGGCTGTAACATACTGCTGTCTGAAAGCTTTATTTTAGCATACTGTTTGACATACTGGTTAGTAAAAGCAGTCGTGAGTGTGCAGTACATTAGTATTCATCTTTCAGTGCATCTGAACGTCAGCGGCTTCCAGTGACGACCTTTGACCTGCACTCATGTTAAAGAGGTCACCTGCCCTCTGGACTCATCTGTACAGCAGCAGGTATGATGCGTGACCTTTGACCTCTGTGATGCGTGTGCGATCAGGATGCAGATGATGGGCGTGGTGTCTCCTCTGATCCTCCTTTTCCTTTACAGAGGAACAGAAACATCCTCATTCACTCCTGAGGAATTTCTCCATGCTATTACACACACACACACACACACACACACACACACTCATTTAGACTGACATTATCCTGTTTCCGTGTCTCTTTTCTTGAGGGTGAGTCGTGAGATCTGATTAGTTGCCCTTTTGGTGGAGGCTTTTCACAAACACACACTCAGAGTTTTGGAACTTCTTGACTTTTCAGATGGAGAGGCTTTTTATCCGCACATAAAAGGTCAGTGTGTGTGTGTGTGTGTGAGAGAGAGAGAGAGAGAGAGAGAATACTGGATTTTGGTGTTTGTGGAATTTCAAATCCAAACTGCAACATAAATCAAAATGCTGACCTTTAATCCCACACACACACAAAAACACACACACACACAGACAGCGTCCACCTGTAACTAGACAGCAGTACTTCAGAGGTACTAAAAAATAAATTATAATACCCCGAAAAACACTATTACCATGGTAAATACATGGCTGATCAATAGTAAATGTAAAAAAAAAACATGGTAGTAGTTACATGAAGTATAAATTCAAATGAAAAAAAAAAACAAGGTAGATCCATAGTAAAAGAAACAGGGTATTTCCATTAATAATGTAAAAAACAACATGATAATTAACATGAAATGTAAATGTAAAGAAAACATTATGGTTTCATAAAAATGTAAAAACAAACAAAAAAACATGGTACTTCCATGATAAATGTAAATATAATTGTAAAAAATCACGGTACTTCCATGATATATACAAAACATTTGGTATTTCCATGGTAAATGTAAAAGAAAATAATAAAATAAAATAAAAATGTTAGTTCCATGATAAATATACTAAAACGTGGTATTTCCATGTTAAATGTAATCTTCCATGACACGTAAAAGAAAAAAACAGTACTTCCATGGTAAATGTAAATACAGGTGCATCTCAATAAATTAGAATGTCATGGAAAAGTTCATTTCAGTAATTCAACTCAAATTGTGAAACTCGTGTATTAAATAAATTCAATGCACACAGACTGAAGTAGTTTAAGTCTTTGGTTCTTTTAATTGTGATGATTTTGGCTCACATTTAACAAAAACCCACCAATTCACTCTCAACAAATTAGAATACTTCATAAGACCAATAAAAAAAAAAAATTAGTGAATTGTTGGCCTTCTGGAAAATATGTTCATTTACTGTACATGTACTCAATACTTAGTAGGAAAATCATCACAATTAAAAGAACCAAAGACTTAAACTACTTCAGTCTGTGTGCATTGAATTTATTTAATACACGAGTTTCACAATTTGAGTTGAATTACTGAAATAAATGAACTTTTCCACGACATTCTAATTTATCGAGACGCACCTATATATAATAATAAAAAAAAAACATTGTAGTTCTTTGGCAAATATAAAAAACAATATTTCCATGGTAAATGTAAAAAAAAAAACATGGTAGTTCAATGGTTAATGTAAAAAATGGTTTAAAAAAAAACATGGTACTTTTCAGTGCTTTTATAGAAGTGATAATTGTTGTATAAGTTTGTGATTGTCTAATTGGACTGGAATTGAACCTGAGCATGTGTGTGTGTGTGTGTGAGGTGATTTTGATTGATTTTCTTCATTAATTTCCCTCTTCCTGTCATAGTTCATTTCTCTCATGGTTGTCTGTCAGCGGACGCCCGCAGCGCCTCTGATTTAAATACACCACAGAGACGTGTGTTTAGAGCCAGAAATCATAATTTCCTCACCTTAACGTCATTCTAAACCCACAAAAGAAGATGTTGAGCTGAATGTTCACGCTGCTCTCTTTCCTACTGGACGGGTAGCTCAACATCTCCTTTCATGTACCTCAGAGGAGCTCCTAGAGGTTTAGAACGACGGTGAGAAGATGATCAGATCCGTCATTTGAGAGTGAATTATTCCACGCTTGTTTAGCTGCAGGATCTTTATGTAATGTTCACAGATGGAAAGAAAATGAGAAATGAGATGTCACATGAAGAAATCGAGAGAGAAAGACACAAACAGATGGAAAGGCGAGTTCGATTAACTGTGTGTGTCTCTGCTTGTGTAATCGCACGACTGTTTTAAAGATGGAAAGTCTCCCTGTCAGAGGATGCCATCGTGTATTTAGTATGTGACGTTGTGAGCAGTATGCAGATTTACAAAGATAAGTGTTCTTTATTTGCATTGATGGTTCCCTGCAGAACCTTTAACGTCCATGGAAACTTTCTATTGCACAAAAGGTTCTTTATAGTGGAAAAATGGTTCTTCAGATTATTCAGATGTTCTTTACACTAAACATGGTAAATGTAAAAAAAACACGGTACTTCCATGAAGTGTAAAAAAAAAAGGTATTTCTATGATAATTGTAAGTGTAAAAAAGAGTTTCATCTGCAGATATGGTCTTGTTTAGGGATCTGTGCCTTTGTGCATGCGGACATCTGACTGCTGAGTAGTGATTGTGTTTTTCAGCAATAGTGTGCACCCTTAATTTACAGAGAAAGCATTTACAGAGAAAAGAAGGTCCGGGAAAAATCTCCATACAAGTTCTTTGTGCATTTATCTTTTTTTGTACTTGTTTGCACTTTTTGTTAGGAAATGTTTATTTACTATTTATTCAGGTTTTTTAAGGTATCTAATATTTTGATACTTAATTTCCATGATCTAAATATTCTTAAAAATGAAAAGTTTGTTGTCATTTGGAAGTGTGTAGGCCTTCTTGCATTATTATGCTGTTACATTATGATTATATATTCAGTGGCATAAAATGGTCTTTAAAATGACAATAATATCACTTATCGCAATTATTTCTGGGGCAATATATCGCACAACAAAAAGTTGTCATCGTGACAGGCAATCAGATGTTCTTTACAATGAAGGCACGCATGTTTTATGTTTTATTTATTT